TTTAAAAAAAAAAAAAAAAAAAAAAAAACATATTTAAATGAAACGAACATATATAATTATATTTTGGTACCAATTTGTTTTTGCACGGTCTATTACTTTTAAAGTTTCGCGGTTATGCCCCAAATCTCATTGTTATTCTGCATCATCTTCTTCCTCTCCATTGTCGTCTCTGAATTTTCGTCGCCATTTCGTCTATCGCTCCCTCAACCACTCCTAGATTCATATTGTACTGTTTGTTCTATGCTCATGACCTAGACGCGCTGGTTGACGACGGGGACCAGCCATTTGAAAATCGGTAATAATCTCACTTTTTTTTTTTTTTTGCATCTGCTAGGGCTTTACTTGACGACGAACATTTCTTTCTTCCTTAATTCTTTGTGGATTTTGCTTTTTGAGTGAATTGAGCGAGGTTTGCATTTCGTTTGCTTCTTGATGTTGTATTTCGCTTACTCGGTCGATAATTGAGATCACTTCGCTGATACGGTCTTCTCACATCCTTTTCTTCTTTTTTTTCAATTACTGGATTCTGAGGGAGTGTTATCGCTATTAACAATTTGGATTTATTCGTTTCATTCCGTTTTGTTAGTTATCAGCTAACATGCATTCGGCTACTCTTGACCAACTATGATTCATCGCTACTCCGGTTGCAACGCTTTTCTTTTGAGTTCCCCTCCCATACAACTGACTGGCAGCTGAACAGGGGGAAAAAAGGCGATTTTGTTTTAAATACTGCTTATTCCTTTCTTCTACGCATTTGAGTTTTTGTATGCTGGATTCAGCAATGAAACATTTGCTGGGTTTTCTTTCGTAAGTCGGTTGCTTTATTTTTCTCGTTTGAAGTCGTGCTTTCACGAACAACTAGTCTCGCTCTAAAAGTACAATTTCTATGAAGAGGGTTTTTGGGTGAATGCAAGTGCTGGACTGATACTTTATAGGATATTAAATCAGTGTGCTAAAACAAGTCTATAGAGGACATGCTACTCCTAAACTTCAATCACGTCATAACAGACATTAGTGCTTGTATGTGTGTTACAGATCGCTAAAAGCTCATGGCCCCGTCAAGAAAGTCCAGAAGTGTTAATAAGCGGCTTTCTTCTGCTAATGAGGCCTCCTCAAGCAAATATGTGGAAGCTCCTAGCAAAGGAAAGCAGAAGGTACGTGAGTTTGTGGTGGAAGATGACTTATCCAAGATTTGTTCAGTCTGTCGACTTTCCACTTGCAAATAAAAGTGTGATATTTCGTTGTTTCAATTTATAACTTCAGTTGCTAATTGGTTACAGGCTATCTTGAAGTAAATTGCAGTGTCAGTCTAACTATTATCATAGTTTTCAGCTGTTGAAAGCTGATTGTCTAAATCGTGACTATATTTATATTTAGCAACTCATTTAACTCCATTCTCCTCTTATTTTTAGCTTTGTTTTTTCAAAAAAAATTTATTTGAAGTTTTTTTTTTTTTTTTTTTTTTAAATAAATTTTTTATTTGGATCTTCTTATCATTTATTTTTAATTTTAATCAGTTGTTCACAACTTGTATAAGATATAATTTGGAGTCAATGGTGACCATTGATTAGTGTTGTCGTCGAAATCTCATCGCGAAGAACAATGATAAGTTTGGTTCAGGGTAGTTTTATAACCATCTTCTGATTATTTGCAGAAGAGGAAATTTGCTGACCTGTTAGGGCCTCAATGGAGCAGAGATGAGGTTGAGCAGTTCTATGAAGCATATCGTAAATATGGAAAAGATTGGAAGAAGGTTAGTATCAATTTATGGAATGGTCATGACAATGTTCTAGTGCTGCGAGCCAAGTGAATCTCATTGCCACAGAAATTGAGCCGTGAAACTTTAAGTATCTTGTTTCAAAATCATGCAATACTTTCTTCAAATTTTTTTCAGAAAACAAGCTTATACTTCTAATTTTCTTGTAGATGTCAATTAAATTTGTTACTGTAGTTGCACCTAATTCTTCAGTCTTAAACAGATACTGGTACTATATTTGGGTTGCAACATTTTTGTCTGGTACTTTTGTGCAGGTAGCTGCTGCAGTAAGGAACCGTTCTACCGAAATGGTCGAGGCTCTTTTCACCATGAATAGGGTAAATCCCTTTTTTCCTAATGATCTCAGCCCTCCCACTACTTATCTTAAATATTTGTATTGCCATTAATCTTTCTCTACAAATGACTTTCTGATTAAGTTTCCAGTAAACTTGTCTGTTGTATGTCGTATTCCTAGTATCGGGGACCTATACTGTGTATTTGTTGCAAACAACCCCATTTTCTTCCCTATACTTATTATCTGATCATAATGTCTCTGCTGCATGTTTTATGTGTTGCTTGTGTTCTCTGTGATCTCTATATCGTGTACTAAAAGGTCATGAAAATTTTGAGTTGTCATTTAATATTCAGTTTTCTTTTATCTGATCAAAAAACCTTTTTAGTCCGTGGCCACTTTGATTGTTGGCGCTCTTTTGGAGTTTCACTTTCACAATTTAAATTGGTACTGTGATTTATCTTGTTACCTTTTCCTGCATCGTTATATTTTTTAGAATTCTGGTCGTGGCTTGTAAAATTATTGGAAAACATATATACTTAATATTTGGAAATGTCAACACTGTGACACCATCTTGTTATTGTGGTTTTTCTGAAATGCGTATGCACATTCTGTTGATTTCAGGCCTATTTATCACTTCCAGAGGGCACTGCTTCAGTTGTTGGGTTAATTGCAATGATGACTGATCATTACAGCGTACTGGTAAGATTTTTGCTCTATCTGTGTGTTATTTTCTCCCTTCTTTCATTTCTTTACCCCTCACCCCCTCTTGTTTTGAAATAGAACTGTGTATATACTCAATTTAGGTATTTTCTTTCATCAATATAAGTTTTTGTCTCCCCAGAATTTATTTTTGTCAATATAAAGCTAATTTACCCTGGTTCATCGTCCTTTGATCTAGAAGAGATGCAAGTTGCGGGTGATTTTTTTAGTTTTTAGTTTGTTTAAAGATAAGATATTGTATGCGTTGAAAAAAGGTGTACAAAGCTTTGAAGATTATATAAATGCTCTCACTACGATAAGCAAACAATGGACCATATAAGGATGCTCTTCAAATAGGATCTTTATGATATAAAATCATCGGCAATGATTGGTCTGCACTTCTAGACTCTTCCTCCTTTAATGGCACACGAAGCTCTCATGACCCTTCTGA